CAAAAAAAAAAAAAAAAAAGGAGACCAGTTCAAATTTATCGAGAACTTTGTATGGTCTATGGAAACGACTTAATGAATGAAGCCGGAGTGAGCCAATGGTGTATCATGTTTAAAAATGATCGCATAAAGTTTCATGAGCTGATGATACACCTGGATTCTGAATATCTTTTGAACAGATGAAGTACATTTCTTTTGAACAGATAAAGGTTTTCCTTCACACGGATATGTTAATATCTACAGTTTTCGAGCATGGGAAAGGAAATCCCGTTCGTATACAGATGGGACATTACACTCACTGGAACTCACTCACCGTGAGTCACTAGATAGTGCAGTTTCCAGCATATATCATCACTGACCCATTCTTTTTGAAGAGTGGTGGAACAAAATTTTTGGTGCAACAAAAATTCTGGAACACGCGCTCCATAATAGGATAGTGCAGGCTGAAATTGTTAGGCTAGGAACGTGGTATTAAGTGTTAAGGAATGAAAGCTCATAAATATTGTCACATTTCCCATGCAATATGATGCATCCACTCACAAAACAACAGCGTTCGCTCCCGAGCGACTGATTAGTCGCTGATGTCTAATATGATTATTCACTTTTTCCTTCAAAACGGAACATCTACTAGTTTTTAGATAATAATATGTATGTATTCAAGAAAACGCAAAATTCCTTCAAAGATTTTATTTATTAATGAAAGAACAGAAATGAACACGTGAAAATAAACAATTTATCTGGTCTTATATTTTTATGAAGATCAGATTTGCTCAAATGCATTTGGTTTTGCTTTCAAATAAGAATGAAATTCTTGGCAGGATTTCTCATAATTTATTTTGGTACTTAATACTGTTTGAAATTTGTGAGTTGCAAATGTGCTTTTCGCTCGTCCACAAATTATTTATAAGACCTTTTCTAAGGGTGCATTACCGTCGAGCAGACATAAGATAAATTTAATAATTATACGACAGTTCGCATATTCCTTCAAATGATTGGTGTGGAAGTGCTTGAAATTCCACCCAACGACTTTCGGACAAAGCCTTCCCAGCGTTCCATTCTGACCTCTTTTGTGGTATAATGTAGTTAGAAATAAGTGAATACTCATCAAATACTTCTGTACCTTGGTTACAACTATTTTCAACCAATACACCGATTATTCAAAATTCTTCTCACATAGCTATTTTGGTTAAATTCGCCCATTCAAATATTTCAAATTCTTCGCAGCAAAACAAAATCTACTGCTCTAAATATTCTTTACTTATTTTATAGAACTTAGCTGTAGTTTGTATATATTTTTTCTAATTTTCCCATTTTCTTGAATTTTTGCCCTTAAATTACGAACGGAGAGAGGAAACACTTTTGTTTCAAGGCCAGCTTATGTGCAATTTATTTCCCTCCCGTCTTCAATTGCAGAAATACTCTGAACCTCGATTTTTAGCTCAGCTTCAAGAAAGGTTGCTGACGGTGTATGCATTAAAAAAAAAAAGTCATACTTTAGATTTAGTTTCCAAAATAGGTTCTTAGTATGTCCGGACACTCACCGATACATAAAAAGGAGTTTTTTAATGTCCTGCACAGTTTAAAATTTTATTTGATTTTATGCAACCGATACTTGCAGTTGAAATTTTATTTACACAACAGGGAAAAGCAAAGGTAATTTCTTTGTAGTGATCACTGCCACTGAGCAATTTATTGCAAATGAAAGGCCAAATGTATTTAAAATACTGCCTTAGTGATTCGATTTGTCACAAACGGAATTTTCAGTACTGTGAAATCTCACTTCAAACGGAATGGTTTATTTGTACCACTAAAGCGCCCATGCAGTCACTCCGTTCGCCAGGATTCGAGCCCCAGGCCGAACTACCAGTGCTCAGCCGCTGGAAAACCCAAGCCAAACGAAAAACATTTAAGAAATTCAGAAAACTGTGATAATGGGGTGAAAGAGTGTTTCAAATGTTGGCTGCTAAGAAACAATTTCGAAGTTCTATGAAGATATCCACAGATATGTGGCGATCCCGAAAGGATTGATGCTCGCTAGTGTGCTTTCGGTCTTTGCTGCTGGATGCTCGTGTCGCCATCTATTAACATTTAGAGGAAGTGCGATATACGAGGTCTCAATATTCTTGAGAAGTAACCTTCATTTGATCTCGATCTTGAGTCCGCTCCTTGTGAGTGAAATACTGTACCGCTGCCGCAAAAGAGCTTCCGTACGACACTTTCCAGTAATTCAACTCATTCCAGTTGCGAGCGTTCTGGCTCTTGGATCGTTACTGGTATGTGACATCAGAAAAAAAGCATATCGAAAGCTAAAATAGTGATAAAGTTGTTTTCGCTGTTTTTAGCTTTCTACTCACCCTATATTTCACATTTTGATATATTTATGTTCTCTTTTATCTCGATATTTTACGAATTTAGTCTTAAAATTTTGGATTCATAATATATGAAGTATGAAAGTTTCGCTAAGCTGTCTGTTGAGACGATTTATGGCTCTTCTCTTATATGTGCCATAAAATTGCCAAATGCGGAGATTTGTGTTGTGCCCTGGTTTTTGGTGCGAAGTTGGTTTCTGTGGCAATCCTTTTACGTAGAAACTTGGATTTGCTAGCTGGTTCGTGTGGTAATTAAGTGATTTATGACGTGTTGGCAAAATTTTAGTCGCGCGCCTGGTACAATTATTTCTTCGAGTGGCTGGAAATTCTACAAGTATTTAGGAGAAAAAGGTTTTGAACATTTATTTGTGAAACATAGTATTAATTTTGTGGATAGTGAGTCTGGCTGTCATATAAATACGATAGAAATTACGTGACGGCGTGTTAAAGCGACGTTGCCGACTTATAATCGGAAATGCGATTCAGAGTTTCATTTGGCGGCTTATATATTTTTTCAACGTTGTTCTGAAACGGGAGAAGATGCTTTTAACAAATTTGTGGTGAAATTGTTTTGGTGATGTTTGGAATTGGTATTTCTGCTGTTCGAAGAAGCATTTATTTATGGTAAGTGCGTTTTGTTGTATTCTTGTTCTTATTTAGTAGAATGTTACGTTCATTGATTTTTTAGTATGAATTTCTGTCGTTGTTGTTTTTTTTTTAATTGTTTAAAATTTATTTTAGTTATTTTAGCTTATTTTGTTGATTAGTGCGCAATGTCTAGATTGTGCAATTCGTAGAATTTTTTTTTTTTTTTTTTTTTTTTTTTAAATTTTAACAGAACGCTGTGTACACGGTATTCTTGAAATTTATTGTTGTTAATTTTTTAAAGCGAGGTGTGCGTAGTTCGTAGTTTCTTCGCTGCCTAGATTCTGCAATTCGTAGATGTTTTTTTAAGTTTAAACAGAAAGCTGCGTACGTGGTATTCTTTGAAATGTATTGTTGTTATGTTAATTTATTTAAGCTAGGTGTGCGTAGTTCGTAGATTCCTTCGCTGCATAGATTGTGCAATTCTGTAAGTTATTTTCAAAGTTAAAACATATCATTGTGTACATGGATTTTTGTCGAATATTTGTGGTTAGAAACTTTACGTTTTTGCTATCTAAATTTTTGTTTTTATTTCGGATTTTTAACTTATATTATTATATATTATATTGTGCGTTCAAAAGGTGGTTTCTGCACGTGCGAAAATCGCGTTTTTGCAGACATTTTAGGCTAAAGATTCGAAATGTAGACAACAAATTTAGATAGTAATATGGCGGCGTGATTTGACGAGAAACTTGTCGCCGCATTTGGCGACCTGAGGGCGCATATAAGAGTAGTTCCCGATTTATTATTACTGTTGAGGCCGTTATTCTACTTTTGAATTCAAAATTATGTTCCAAAGAGTGTCTTGTCACAAACAATATGTTAAATTTTATTAGTCAGTGTTAATTATTCAAATTGCAATCACAATGATATTTCACACAGTCTGATTATTCCTACACCATAGATCTTTATATTTTTAGGACTATACTGTAGCACATTTGCTTCAGAGAACATGGATTTCTAATTTAAAACTGCTCCATTCTGTTTCTTTCCATATGTTCCTTAAGACTGTTATTAACAAACTTAAGGAACATATGTATATGGGCGATGTGGATGATATAGACAAATATATGGAATGATCTTTAGACTCACTCCATTAGCTAAAAGTCTCACACTCAGCAACTTATCTTACATCCAAAACTGTAAGCAAAGAAAACATAAAGCGGCACGTGAGTAAGAAATACTGCGAAGTAAAGATGATCTCCTTAACTGCTTCATTATATTTTTACTGCATTAGCAAACAGACTAAATGAAGGGAATCTGTGCTTTAGCCTAGAACTGAAAGCATTTCCATGAATTGTTCTCAAAACTATTTTTATATTGTGTACATTATGTTATTTGGCACTATAAAACTCAGGTATTGTGCACAGTACCAGATTTCTTCCTTTATTAATAACATATACATGGAATAAAATTTTGCTGTTACTGACAAAAAAAAAAAAAAAAAAAAAAAAAAAAAAACTGAGTTGCTGTAAATTATATAAGTCAGGGATACTAGAATTCTCTTCTACACACTGTTTTTGATTATAAAGGACAAACTCAGTAAACTTAAGATAACCGTATTACCTAGTTAATAAATCACTTCATACATACTGAATCCCATCTGCTCTATGAAATTTTAAAATTCATTAACCACTAATGCTCACCTACTTAAACCATGAAAATTCTGCCAAACAGGCAGCTAAGTTCTGAGTTATAATCTTCAAACTGTGTTTACTCATTTACAAATTATAAGTAACAAATTCGTTGAACATTTTGCTTTACCATACTTTTAGGAAACTGATAATTTCTTTTTAACTCTTGTTACATATGCAAATGTTTTTTGTTTAGTCGAACTTCAACACTTTAAAATGTCTTAACATTCTAAAAACAGCTTATTATACTTTCTTTGAAACATTCTAATTGAAACATAAATATTCTTTCTTATTTCAAACATGTATTTCCAGAGGAAATAACAGAATTCATTAATATTGTGAAAATAAAACTTACCCAACATGTTCGTCATAGCATTCAAATAATTTTATTTGCACAACCTCAATAACTACGATAAAAACTGCTGTCATGGGTAGTAGTAAAGATCCTTTAATTAAAATTGGGATACGAAGAAAGACAACAACAGAAAAGAAAGTCAGGATGCAGCTGATTATGACATAATGTGGTAGAGGACAATAATAGTGATCATACAGGAATGAGGTCTGAGATACATTAGCTGAAGCATTGCACTTTGGCTCCCTCATGCATGTAAACTATATGCAAAAAAAAAGAAAAAATATTACGCTTAATTCTATTTCTCCATATTGCATTTAATAAGCATATATCTAAAACTGTATTCGCTTATGGAAAGTTCTATGATTCAGTAAAATAAAGCTTAATAAAATATACAGTAAAATCCTTCTAATGCAGTATATCTGGCTATTCAAGCAGGTCATTGTGCGGGGAGGAGTTTGCTACTGAAATACAGCATGTTTCTACTTCCTTGACATTACAAAAATAAGCATTAACTATTGATTGCAAACAATATAAATTTCTCTTAAATGCAAATAGGATATTACAGATTATGATGTAAATTTACAACCATATGGCTTTCTGATTAACATATACTAAACTTGTGTACCCGCTCTGATAGAAGTATTTTTACAGTATATAAAGAAAGTGCAGTTTTTTTAATAAACAAGATAATCAGAAAGAACTTCTATCACTATATTTCCATAAAAACCTTAAATCTTAGCTGCATTAGCAGATAGACTAAAAGGAGCAGAATCCAAGACTCTTGGAAACTATTACACATTACATTTAAGGGGAGAAGAGAATAAAACCTAATGAGTTTTGTTTCTATAAAAACAAGTTTAGTTTTCGCTCTCTATCAGTTATAAATATTTGTTCATAAGCAGCAGTAAAGTAATGCATAATATAGCTGGACAGGGCTTAATAATGGATTTAAAACAGTGGAATTTTTGAAAAGCTTTTCAATATTTTTAAAACTAATTAAAAAAATAAGTACTGAAATAAATGCTAACAAATATCAAACTATATGGAATAGATAAGTATTATTTTAACTATTAAATCTTGAGCGCAAAGTTATGCTATATAGTTATCCGTGTCAGTTATAAATAAAAAAACGTTCATTTAATTTTCTCAGAAGTTTATTCTAATTTTCAGCAGTTTTTTTTATGATGAATTTATACAAAACAGGTAACACATCAATATTTCTCATTCAATTTATGCAAATTTAATTGGGAAAAATTGCAATATCTAGACAGAACGCGAACTCTTCCTAGCATTATTTATTAACTTAAATTTAGACTAAAAACGGATTGCCACATTCGATTTTTGAAATAATTCAGAATAAAGGTTGGAAAACATGAATATAACCTTCTCTAAAGCGCAGAGTACATTAATGAAGTTACCGGATTTCATGATTTAAACTCAAAACTGCATCTTACAGATTATTTTAAGTAAAATTAGGAATTTATTTCATTTATATTAGTGTTTTATCACTGTGATTTTAGGAAAAACAAGTTTTCTTACTTGTTACACTGGCTAAAATTAAAGTCCCATTCCTCTAGCTATAACAAATGCAACAGTTTTATTTCTGTATAAAATCATAACATAACATGAATTAAAACTAGGCAAAAATGCAATTTTAGATTGGATAAGATTCTGATTAAAACTCGACTGATTTGGAGGTCAATCAGGCACAAGTCTCTCTTCTTCAGTAGCAAAATGTTTTACTCGAACTTAAGGATATTTTTTCCTCTTCGGTGGTAAATTATGCAGCAAAATGTTTTTCCTCCTAAAAAAAAAAAAATGGACCTATGTTTCCTTGCCATCGAAATCAGCAGAATTTTGCTCGAAATTTGCTTCAAACTAAGGTTGCACTTTTCCCCTAGTTTTAAATCCTAAATATATTTCTGTTCCAGTTAGATTAATATGAATGCTCTAATAGGCAGTCATTTTCGCTTTTAAACAGAGATAAGAACTATTAGGAATGGGCAAAAAAGATAGAAATATATTAACAGCAGAGAGAAATAGCATACTGAATGATATTTTAGAATGTTAACTTTCTTAATTTTATTCATTGATGTGGATTCTTTTTCTCTTGCTAGGCAACGATATTGCAGCCGTTTTTTTTTTTTTTTTTTGGTTGCAAAATCATTACATCACAAAAGCATAACAGCAATTAAAAGGTTGGCCTTTTATCCTGCATTTATAACCTTATAAAGCGCAGAATAAAGAAATTAAAAAATCACAGTAGCATGCTGATCAACAGAAATTATTTTCTGAAATGTTAAAAAGGAAATACATCACAAAGAGCCTAGCATCCTTTTGTGTTACTGGTTGAACGAAATACATGTTGTTGATTTTTAGAAACGAAATATTAATATGCTGAGATTGTGAGCAAAATGCTAAATAACTTTGCATTAGTAATTTATTATGAACCTAACAGTTGAATTGCTCTCAATAACTTTTACTGAATTCTTAGAATTTGAAAATTTTTAGAATATTAGCAAGCTTGATTAAAAATTCAAGAAATATCCTAAAAGTTACAGCATTTTACAGAAATTATTCCCCAAATCCAATATATTTTGCTAATACGGAAATCTCTTTTAGTCAGTATAATAATAAATTTTGGCAATGTAAAAGTATCGAATGTTTAATTTTCTGCAATCATTTCCCTTACTGATACCTGCATTTATTATCTGTAAAAATCAAACATGGGTTTTAATTTTTTTTTATTTAATGGCACGAAAAAATATAAGAAATTAATTTTTTTATTATAAATAATACTCTTGACATTTATGCTTTGAAATTACTTACGACATTCACTTGAGCTACAATGTAGACAAAAATAATGGTTAGAACAATTGAAGTCATACGCAGAGGGAAATACTGGCTTATGTCCCACGAAATGTACTGAAAAAAATATACAAAATTAAGCAAAGAAAGCAGAAAATAATATAACAATATAATTTTAAGTGTTTAATTTTGCTAATAAGAAATATAATACAGTTATACCTAGGTGCGTCCACTTTTAAAAATGTCCAACTTGGTACACATACTGTTTCGATGCGAAAATTTTTGTTTGGTACAACGTTTATTTGGAATACGACTCGAGTTGGATGATTCACGACTGCGCTCGCTACATTAGTTCACATCTTTAGAGACAATGTTACGACTGCCCTAAATATCACAATACCTGTTGCTACTATTCAGTAAACAACCTGCGCTACTCTTTTGAATTTTCAAGTGATTTTTTTGTTTTTCGCTAAAATGTTTTTGTAAATTCGTTAATAATGAGTTTTAGGAAAGTCAGTGAAGAAAAACAAGCAATGAATTAATTATTAGCTTCACCATGGAGGTGAAAAGTGTGAAGACGGCATGCATATGTGGGACTTAACTTTTTAATACCGTATGGCGAGCACAATAGCGTTATTCGGCCAATAGCGCCACTCGGACGACAAAGTATTTGGTGAGTCATACCGAAGGGCCTGGATTCAAATTCCGGAGAAGGCATGGATCTAATTTGTTCCGTCCCTTCTTAGGAGGCAACAGTGGCCCACTGTTAGATGCCTTCATAATAAAGAGACCACCGCTTCCAGCCATACTAATGGCCAATGCTTATAAAAGGATAGATCACACCACTGGGAAAGAAAAAAAAAAAAAAAAAAAGAGAGAGAGAGAGAGAGAGAGACTTGTTTCGGAATAACAGCCGAATTTATTTTTCCCACTGAAAAGTGCATAGAGAAATACATTTATGAGCATTAGCTTTATACTTCGTCACAGTCGGTGGGCCGAGGGTGAGTTATAGCTCGTCGTTGTCCCACGCTTTTGATGTTCCTAGCGGAGGCGTTGCTCGTGGCAACATCTGTGGGTCAAATCAGAGGCGTGGTGTGATAGACCTCGGAGGCTTCGGGCACAGAACTCCGGTCCATGATATGGAAGACGAATCCTCTATCAGTAGCGCAAAAGAGCTAGTGTTGACTGGCTCGGCGAATGGCACAAATGTAATGCAACAACACTGAGACACACATAAATTTCTAGGCATGTGGAATAAGATCTTAATCATGAAAAATTTCATTTGCAATAAAACCTAAAGCAGCACTCTTAGTAGCAGCTGTAAACGGGAATGGTAATTAAGTCCAAATGAACGTTCTGCAGTCTCACTTAATTGCATTCCCTAGTTTTATACAGAAGTCATGAATACAGATTTTCATCGACTGAACTTTTGGGATGAGCAAGTCCCAACCACAAAGATTTATCTGACAACCTGCAAACAACAGAAACCCTCACATTTACCATCATTCAACATCTGACTGATTCCAGCCATCTGATAACTTTTCATCAATGGCCAGTTCGAGAAACAGACGCTTATGCGATGCTTATTTATAATGCTTATGGGCTAATGATCTTAGAAATATCTTTCAAAACAGCATTAATGTGAGGAGTTTGACAATGCTATCAACGATCTTATAGTAAAAACAACTCTTTCTGGTGTTGAAATCGGATCAGAAATATTGAAAAATAAAATTCAATTAATTTCAGATGGTGAAAAGGAGGAGAAAAGTATTCTGATGTGTATCTAGTAATGGTTCCAAAGGCCCATTTAAATCTTGAAGAAGTTAAGAGATTCTAAAGTAGTAATAAAAAATACCGAAAAATCTGGGTATTTAACTTTAGCTCATGCACAGCTATTCTTTAGGAGCAGCATTTTGTGTTCATTAAAAAAAAAAACCCATGAAAAAGCAGAAAGTAACGACGGTAGTGTAGCAGCACAGCTGAACAATAGCAGCACGTGAAATCAGGTTTTTCTAACGTTGTGGAAAGTAACATGATGCTGAATGGACCTAACGATTTTATAATTATAAAGACAGCTTCTGAGGACTTACATTATTTCACACACTTTAGAGCCTGAGTTAAAATGCATAGTACCCAGTCCGCAAATAACATTTTCTCTTTCAAATGATTAAAAAATAAAATTGTCTGCATTCGGTTCATTGAATATTCAAAGTTTCTTCAATTTAATCAAAACAGTGTATGAACATGAAGTTTCAAAGTTATCGGATCTTTTTAGTTATAGGACAATACGAAACGAACAATTTTCTGCACAGAGATATATGCGTCAACGTTTCCTTTTGGACACCGTTAAATTAGATATGTTGTTCTTATACCTTATATTAATGTCCTTGTTTTAGAGTAAGCGTTGTCAACAAAATGGTCTTAAAGTAAGCCATCATACTTTCATTTATTTATTCAGCAACTAACCTAAGAGATATATTTCTTTTTCTAAAAATTGTATTACGTCCGAAATCAGCTGTCGAGTAAAGTACATTTCTGGTTAGGAGCTGGCGCATATATAGGGTGTCCATAATTAAACTTGAAATTTGCAAGCAGTCTGTAGCAAAAATTATGCAGCGAAATTGCATGAAAATTGGGTAATGGCAGAATGAAATGATGGGAATTTTACCGATGAAGGGGGGAAAAAAACAATGAGTTTCAAAAACCACCCCCAGGTGGCGAATCATAGCATTATTGAGACCATATAAATAATCTACAAAAATTTACAAAACATGCTCGATATGATGTCCACCTTTGTCTGCTACCATCTGGAAGCGTAAAATAGCATGTTCGGCTGTTGAAAGCAGTATGAACTGGGGAATGTTGTTAGGCACATGGCGTTCTATGCTTTCTTTAAGGTCGGATAGAGATGTGATAGGATCACGGTAGGCCATGGCCTTGAGGTATTCCCCACAGCCAAAAGTCGCAAGGATTCAAGTCGGGGGATCTAGGAGGCCAAGCTGAAGAAAATTGTCGTAACACCGTGGTTGTATCACATCGCCTTGCCTGAAGAGCTGGAATAAAGGAATGCTCTAATAATGAAGAGTATCGTTTACCGGTGGCGGTGCATGCCACAGGCCCAGTGGCGCTGCGTTCGTCGAAAAAAAAAAAAAAACAACGGACCCACAATAAAGGTTGCAGTAAAGCCACACCAAACCGTTACATGCGAAGAGTGTAATGGAATTTGTAGGAATTGATGTGGGTTTGTAGCAGCCGAAATACAACAATTGTGCGTGTTAACCACACCTTCTGGATGAAAGTGGGCCTTGCCGCCCCACAAAATGTTCCATGGCCATTCATCCTGGAGCTCAACTCGCGCAAGAAACCGCAACACGAAAGTTTGTCGACTATCCAGATCAGCTGGTAAGAGCTGCTGCACTAGAGACAGTTTATAGGGGTAGTAGCTTTTGAAGAGCCTTATGAAACGTCGAACGAGGTTGGTCAACAGATGTTGCAATACGCCGAACAATAGTGCTGCCTATGGTTTGCGATCTGTCTTCTTCCACTTGCGTCGCAACGTCATCCACTACCTGTGCTGCAACACACTTTCGTCCCCTTCCTGGCTGAATCCCCAATGATCCTGTTGCTTCAAATTTCCTAATCATTTTTGTTAGTCCTTGAATGGTGAGTGGACCTTTTCGTAACCGCTTCAAAGGCCGAAATTTTCGCAAAGCTTCGGTAGCAGAGTCTCCGTGTTGGTAAAACTGTTTCACCAGTAAAGCACGTTCCTGGAAGTCAACGTCATATTCCTTGACTTGGAAACGAGTATGACTGCGGTTCGCTTCTCATATCTGTATAAGGTTGCTATACGCCCACAGGATTACTATGGTAACGACATTTGCATATTGCACAATGCCATCTAGTGGTGGTTTTTGAAACTCATTGTTTTTCCCCTCGATAAAATTCCCATCATTTCATTCTGCCATTACCCAAATTTCACGCAATTCTGCTGCATAAGTTTTGCTACAGACTGCTCGCAAATTTCAAGTTTAATTATGGACACCCTGTATTTTTCTAGAAAAAAAAATGCTTGGTACATATTGTCTTTAACGAAAAAGATCTAAGTAATAATTTATTGCAGAGTAATGAAACAGAGGCAATCTACACGGAGCAGGCAACGGGAAAAAGGTTTTCGCACCTTTTCTCAAGTTACCCCTCGTTTGTCGAGGCGCAGTGGTTCCGCGCCATAAAGGTCTCGAAGATATTGTCACTCTTTTCAAGTTGACAATCTCTCGCCAAGGTGCCAGCACCCTTATGAAGTTCGGTACCATGAAGAAAGCAACGCTCATGAAGGTTGTCGAAATACCCAGGTAGAGGTCAATCTTCACAAACAGTTTCTTACTTGCATTAAGATGCAGGAATCTTTATAACATTTTATAAAATCGTCCAGGTGGCGGAACATAACAATTTCTCGCTTTTATGCAATGGAGTAGAGAATTAGATCCAAGCATTATGAATTTGCTATGAGGTAACGACGACGAAGTTAAGACGTTGGATTTAAATTATTTACTATTAGTTGACTTTGGAGCTGCTTTTAGGATACCATTAAATCTTTTTTCTTCCGACGAGTTTATCGTTCTTTTCTGCATGAATTCTAGAATTACGATTAATATTTAATTTTTTTTTAAACATCGATATCAGGTAACAATGCAGCGTCATCGCCATCGACGCTTCAGGAAACATGCCCCATATTTCCGATAGCCCTATCCACTCTTGGCATCAGTGTTTTCTGACATCACAACAGATATTAATGTCTTTCAGGAAATTCATCATCTAGACTTAGGGGCCATGTTGGAATTCTTCAACCCAGTTTTTAAATTAAAGCTTTGGATTGGATTATTCAGTTATGGCAAAGCACACGAGGGCTATCTGCCTAAAGGGAGGGATGCCTTTAGTGGAGGACTTTCCAAGGAAAACTGGCTCGTATACACGTTACACATGGGGAAAACCACGAAAACGCCCATGCAGCCAGCCCGTTCGCGGGATTCGAATCTCGGACCGAACTACCAGTGTTCAGCGTCTTTACCGCTCGGCCGCTGATGGGCAATTAAAGCTTTTAAAGGTGATTCATTATCAAAATTCGAATTTATGTAATCAAAACGCTATTGCGTAAAACCCAGTTGAAAGTCAAAATCACTGCTTTATCGCCAGGAAACGACACCGTTCAAAAGAAATTTGCAGCGTTTCCAGTTCTTTAACTGCAGATGCTAACTCGAAAGTTCAAACTCAATAAATAGCATATGGACTGAAACTATATCTGATTTTGCCAAATTCTAAAAACCTAGAGAAGTTTAAGCAGGTAATTGACAAAAGAAATATTTCCTGACTGTTTAGTCTATTTAGTTGCAAACTATTTAAGGAGAATTCTTAATAAAAAATAATTTATAATGTTTAAATCCTGATGTCGTAACTTCAAGCACCCTCTGCTTCTCATATATTAAAAAAATTGTTTCTGCAACTAAAACAAATAGCATAGCAAAAATAGGAAGTTTTTGATCGGAATTTACTTACTAAAGTAGAATGACATCTTTTGGAATCGCGCAACGCGATCCTCTGATGACAACAATACTCACTGTAGCAAGAAATTATTAACTAAATTATATATTATTATTCGATTTCTTTTTCTTTTTCTGTTTTTAAAAACATACTTTAACAAAAATTCGGCGTTTGTGATCAGCAGTGAGTGCTCAGCGGTTGTGGCGCCATCTATGAGGCACTGAAAGCCGTTGTTCAAACCGTCGAACCAAAAGTGTACTTGTGACGCAAATCGAGCTATGGCTATAATTTTGACAGCAAATCGGCCTATGGCGTTAAACTTTTGCCTGCCGGGGCGATCCCTGTGTTTGCCAACTTGCTGCTCCTCATATACAAACAAATAACTACAAAAATTATCAAAACAATACGAAGGAAATAAATTAAAGCTTTACATTTATTTTTTAAAAGAAAAAGAAATAATTCCAACATATTAAAATTGTATCATTATTTTGCTTTTTTTTTTTTTTTTTTTTTTTTTTTTTTTGTTTGCAAAACTATCCGTGATATTCTAGTGCCTTATTTAACTGCTCTTGCTGCTATGTAGATAACCGAGAAAGATTCCTTAAATGCAAAAAATACACGTCCAGCACTTATAGGAATTAAGAAGAAAGTTTGCATTAGTATTACAATATTTGCGACTTTGTTCTGGAGCTTGTATTTTAGAATAAACTGCAAAAAATTGAAAGAATTGCCTTTCTACATTTCTGTTTGGATTGCCCTAACAATAACAGAAATAAAACTCTGAAATATGTCTTTCTTAATAAGGAATTTTTCCTCATTAATGTTACTATGATCATAATTTAGCCGATATTCGCAATTTGCATTCAAAAGTTTCGACGAAATAAAAAAAGTATAACAAAACTATGTAGCTGTTAAAATCCCGCGGTGATTTTGTAGAGACATTAGGATACTTTTGGAAACAGGAAAGATGAAAAATTAACAACGCCTTCGCCGGGAATCGAACCACGGACCTCTGGAATACCGGCCCAGCGTGCAGAACAACTACACCACGAAAGACGCTTGGAAAGCGGGAGAAATACTTTATATACACCCCTTTTTAAAGAGCGACTAGGGTTTTAGGGGACCTAGTCGCCAAATCCTGGGTGTGGAGAATCATCATCCACAACCCTTTTAGTTTGAGCGCCACTGTAGAGTCATTAGGTTAATTGGAAGCAGAAAAGATGAAAAATTAACAATCGCCTTCGCCGGGAATCGAACGACGGACCTCTGAAATACCGGCTCAGTGTGCAGAACCCCTACACCACGAAGACACGCTACAAAAGCGGGAGAAATACCTTATAATTTCTTTGAATGCTTTATCTGAAATAAAAAACTTTTTTTTTGGTCAGTTTAATTCTGTACGGCAATTGACAATTTAATTATTATTCACCTGCCTTTACGATCCCTCTGACTAACCCTTATAAAATAAGGTTTCATGCAAAAAATGCCGCCCTTAAAAATGTGCCGCCCAGGGCAGAACGCCTCTCTCTAGCTACGCCACTGAAATCAGGGATAAATTTTCTTCGTTTAAAATGTTGTCAAATACTCTCCACACGTTTAAAATCATTTTAGCAAGATATGAACTTCTCTCAAATCCCGTTGTAGAGATAAGCATGTTCGAAATTTGTTGTATGAACGGATGCGTGCAAGTTAAGGATAGAGAATGATGCAATGAAACTGTTTCAACTGATGAGAGGAAGCAGAGCTTGTCACCAATTTCGGCTCCTGCGATCAGCAAAGAATATTCTGCATTGGTCTCGCCATCTAGAGAGTGAGGCGAATAATAATAATAATAATTCATAATCCGAAGCGCCAATTTCGAACTCGGGAATAGTTGATTGCTAACCCGAAGCTTAATTCATCGGGGCCAAAGGGGCAGTCAATCATGAAAGCAAATTGGGGTGTATTTTTTACGTTTAGAGGCCTGGTACACATACCCAGCATAACAGGGCAGTACATTTTTGGTACGAAACTTTTCAGCAAATTAAAAAACTTAACGTATGCATGAGAGACTCATCATGTTATATTCCAAGTTAAAAAAAAAAAACATTAACAGACATTACTAAAATTTAAAAAAAAAAAAAAAAAAAATCCTAATGGACATTAAACTATAGCAGCTAGTTTCTCGAAATTAAAGGTTTAATTGAATATGGCTGATTATTACTACAGAAAATAGTTATTTAATGTTTTCAACTTCAAAATTCGAGCATGTATTTTGCAACTTACTTTCATTTTGGCTCCTAAAGTCAGCATTATCAGTAGAAATATCCAACAGAAAGCCGAAATGAATAATATTACCATTATCAGGGACCTATACAAAAAATTAAACTAATTAGAAATATTTTATGCTTGTATTCAATATAATGTACATTTTAAAATGTCATCATGAATATTTTAATGCGGATAATGCTTACATTACAAATCAATCAATCAATAAAAATCTTTCCGACATTAAAAAATTATACTATTTTAAAATACATCACATTTATTTAAATCGTTTATTAGAGAATAAGGATTCCTTTTAGATACAGATTTTACAATGAGTTGATCGCACGTAATCTCGTAGATAAAATGTAAAGTAAAAGATATAACATACTTTAATGCAATTCATTATAATTGGCAGAAGTAAAGTTAATCTATCAGCATTATTATTAAATATCCCTTTAAATTTTGTCTATTCAGAATTAACAGGGCTTCAATTCAGCTAAAGCATACCAAAGGCTCAAATAAGATAAATTTCGGTACTCTATTGCAAAACTGAGTCGCAATATTAGTAGAAAATTTTATTATCACCGTTACAATTTATGTAACAGTCAATAAAATTAACGTACGCCTCACTTTCCCTGCAGAAAGCCGCTCCCCCATATAAAAGAAGATGCGAAATTCAGAAAACCCCGTCGAAATGGGATTCCTGTCGGAGAAGAAATTTTATGGACGTTACTCATCTGGTGAAGAAGGCTTCAGCCGGTATACTTTCTCCAAGAAGGCTGGAGGAAACCAGGGATCTCTTTTAAGTCCTGGGGGAAACAGAGATGCAGTTTTGTCTGACCACAAAAAATACTATTCAAAACACATACCTTTCTTTTATCCTCCGTACCACATCTTGTTATTATTAATTTAAGCTTCCTTCATTTGTCAAAGTACCTCGTTTAATTTCCGTGATATTTTAATGAATAAATTCTATATTTATGATTAATTCAATTTAATTTAATTAATTAATATTTTTATTTATAGCTTTATATTTTATTCAATTATTCATTATTTATTGTTTTAGTTGTTATTTTACTTATTTTATTTCTAGTTTACGGCTTTTACCATAGGGCTCCGGCACTCCGAATTTTATACTAAATTAAGCGCTGAATATTGGAGATTACGATTATAACTCCAATAATTTTGGTTGCGCTATACCTTTAGTAGCAACAAACAAATGTGCATTCTCATGGACGCGGCATATACCGATAGACACCGTGTCTTTTTTTCAATCGATAGTCGTAGACATAATAATACTGCCAATAACAAAAATGTTTTATATGAAATCAATATTCATGTTTTGGCATTAAAGATGCCAAAACATGAATTAAATAAATTAACATTTAAAAAAATCAGTTCTATAAAAATTACGAAATCTTATTTTTTATACGATCGCCCGATCTTTGTAGTTATATTTAGGAAAATTTGTGCTCATCATAAAAAATAAAACATAAAATGTTTGATTTTAATGCGACAAAAATCGACAGACATTTAAAAATTTCGGGCTATGAGGGGGGAGGGGTTTAATAAAATTTAGAAAACTTTAAGTTGGTTTACCCTTTAGTGCCATTTAGTAATTTTTTTTTTTTTTTTTTTTTTTTTTTTTTGTGTGTGTGTGTGTGTGTGTGTTTACTTCAGTGTAACATTCTTTATTTCTTTTTTAGTTATGTACAAATGCAAGCATCTCACCTTCAGTTTGTGTATGAGCTCTGAATATGAAATCAAATATCTCGGTTAACTTTCGTCGTACGCGAATCAAATTTATTTATTTATTTGTTGTATAATTAGTATATACTTTTCCTAAATAGGATGTAGAGATTTATATTTATTTTAAATAACCAATTTTATTTAATATGTTATTCTTTCCTATAAGCCTTCATTCCCCTAATTGTCAATGCCAGAAGATTTAAATTTGGTAGCGAACCTGAAGGAATGAAAATTCTACCTTGAAGAAAGAGTTTAAAAAGTTGGAAAGTTGGATAGAGTTATGCTATTGCCGTCACGTCTGTTGCGTAAGCTTCTGCTCCCAGAGTTCTTGCTAGTTCGCGTGGCATAACTGCATTTACTTGCTGCCGCGAGTTTCGACGCGGGTTTAAAAAACATGAATTATCTGAGCCCTGTAGCGTAGTTCTACTTCTTCTGCATATCTTCGAATTTTTAGTTTAGTTCTGTGATTTCAGTTACCGCCCAAGGGAGGCGTAGCATGTTAGCGTCGAGTTGACGCATTGTAAATTTTAAACAGTTAATTAAGGGTACTTTTAACCTTTCTCCTGTGCAGTTACTACTCTTACAGTTCTTACTCAGAAGTTAGAAAAGTGGACTGTACAAGGAAAAGTATAAAAAGTTTGATCTCTTTTCATGACTGAATTGTTAAATTTAAAAATGCCCAAATATGAATACTTACGACATCTAAAATATTTTCATAACTGGAATTACGTATATGATTACGACGAAATGTTGAGAAAATAAAGGACGCGTAAGGATTTTTAGTGATATACTACTCGTATATACAGACATGGTGTTCCGTGATTATTTTAGAATCTTCAGCTCATGAATTCTTCCTTTCTCGGTAAGATACCGTTAAAAGGTTTTAATTAAAAAATCTAGGAATCCAGCATGCCATGAAAGCATTAAAATCTTATGAATCATGTAAAGTAGAATTTCATAAGCAAATTATGTGATATTTAGGTAAAAAATAAAACACAAAACAAACATTTACATACTATATTTAAAAGCATCAGAACAGATAATTAATTTACTTATTAATTTTTTATTTATGCAAGGCAAACAAATATGATAGATAATAACTATTTGATTTTTAGCTCAACTAAATCTAGTAAGCATGGACAAAGAGCCTGCAGAGAAATCATATTCAATACTTGTGTAATATTCTTTCCATCTTGTAATTAACAGCAAGTTTAATTTTGTTTCAAGTTGCTTAGTTATCTAATTATATTAGAAGCTTATTAACCATTTAAAAATGTAATAATTCATTTAGCAGAAATATTCTATGATATGAAATAATATGAATTCTATTAAATCAATAATGGAACAATATGAATTCCATTTTATCATATTCCATTAAAGTTTTATTCTCAAGAGCACTTTTCTTTTTGCTTTTCTTACAGTATGATTTATATTATTTATCCCCCTCCCAAATAATATTTTTGCATGTATACCAGAGACTCTGGAACACAAAACAGAAAACATTTTAAGAAACATACATATGTATACGTAAATCTATCTTCAGAAGTGGAATTAGGGAAATGCGCAGGTCACAATGGCGAGGGACACGCAAATCCTTAATTAATTTGAAAAACGTAAACATACTCAAGATATGGGGTTTCATACATTCAGAAGAGATGGCCCCTCACTTCATCAATCCACCATTGCCAATTCTTACTCTTGAAACACATATACGTATAAATTTTTATTGTATAATTAAATGAATAACCTTTAATCGCTTTCTCTGTCAATTTTTACCTAAAATGAGTAGTTCTAAATGCTTCCATTCTCAAACAAGGTGTTTCAAAACTAATGGAATAAACTGTAAGGATGTGACAAAACATATGGAAACACATTTTCAGCGCAGAATGCACGGTCGCACATTAAGTGGTTAGGCCTTTGAGGCCGATGTCCTTTCCCTCAAACACGTTGTTTTTCATTTCGCAAAGCCATAGGATGCTTTTAGACGCATGTGTAAAATCAGTGGATTTTTGTATGAACAGTCATCATTCTTTTTGCTTTTTATTCTAATTATAGATTGGCGCTCTGTTAAGTATTTTGCTTGTACACACTTCTAGAAAGCGGCACAGCTTTACTTCTAAATGATGACTTCTAAACTCAATGCTTCAAATTCATATTGCTCTAGAGTTTTCTCAGAGCAACCAAGAAATTTTCGTTTAAGAGTCTTTTTTTTCTCTACCTACTTCTTGTGTTATCCCGTGGAACGATACTTGCTTCCAGACTTCATTACGCTACGTTAGGGGTCTTCAACCTTTCACACGCTAGAGCCACATCAATAAATTCACAAAGATTCGCGGCCCACATGTCTGTCAAAAAATAGTGTAGTCAGAAAATTTATTAAAAAAAGGGGAGATTTGTTTTGGAATACTATAATTGATTCTAGGTGAAGAGATAGTGTTACAGATTTGTATATATATATGCATTGGTTCCCAAAAGGCAAATGGAAATCGAATAAAATGTTTTGCAACATTTTTTGATTATGAAAAAAAGCATAAAGATGATTGTACAGAACGATGTTACAAAAAGCATTTACGAGTACAATAAAAAAAGAGAAAAACTTCCATTACTGGCGGGAGATGGTAGTTACTTTAGCTTTAATGTTAAATTTGACATTGTTTTTCCTTGATTAAAGCTTCAATATCCGGTTTAATCTGTGTTGTTGCAATTCGTAAAGATTCCAACAAATGCGTCTCTGTCAGCCGTGTTCTTGTTTTGAATTTTAGGATTTTCATTTTACTAAAATGCTGCTCTCATATATAGGTACTGCCAAAGATAGAAGACATGAAGAGTGCATGTTTACGAATTCCTGGATACTTGTACTTCGAATAAAAATAAATTAATGTAGGATTTTCAAGAAACTTGCATTTTACTGCAGTCACAGTGTAAATCTATAAATTCTAATTGAAGTTCAGGTGGAACACTTCCAAATGTCTACTGAAAATGGCGAGGAGAACATTCTGATAAAAATTTCATTTTCGCGAAAATCGGAAAATCTACTTTTGAATTTCTCTTTCAAATTTGAAACGCATTCTACGTAATTATCTGAATTTGATGTTGTAGAGTTCTTCATACACTCCATCAATTTTGGAAAGTGAGTGGAATTCTTATTTAGCAACTGACTTTCCCACAGGATTAATTTTGTCTCAAACGCTTTCACAAAGTAATAAAGATTATGAACAAGTCGATCTTTTCGCAGTAATCGGTAGTTCAAATCACTGAGATTACCTGTAATATCGGCAAGAAATGCAAAGTCTCTACACCATTACTCATCACTGAACCCGTGAATAGATTTTCCTTTAAATTCCATGAATTGTTGAACTTCGCTCTTCAAAGAAAACAGGGCTGAAGCATCTTTCCTCGGCTCAACCAACGTACTTCTGCGTAGCACACAACGACACTATATTCAGCTTCTAAACCACTCAAGAACTGTTGAAATTGCCTGCGATTAAGTGATTTAGACCGAATGAAATTAACCATTTTTACAACAACGCTCATCACAAAGTTTGAGAAGGACTTCTTGCACAAATTTTCCTGGTTCATGATGCAATAGAAAGTCATCATAGTATTATTTCCACTTGCCTTCACATCAGATTGGAATAATGTTGTTACTTCTATTTTCTCTCCAGTCATAGATTTAGCTCCATCCGTGGTTATAGCAGATATATTACTGAAGTCTAACTCACATTTATCTAAAGTTTGTGCCAGACTCGAATACAAATCTGCTCCTCGTGTTGTACATTTAAGTGCAACGACACTGGCTAATTCCTCTACAATTGTCTCTATCAACGCCACGAATAAAAATGGCTACTTGTGCAGTATCTGTTTCATCTGTTGATTCATCCATCGCTACATAATAAAACTCAACTTTTTTTCCTTTGGATTTTAATTTACTGAATATATCTGTTGCGAGATCCTCTATGCGCTTAGCTACTGTCACACCAGGCAAGCTAATATTCGATATGACTTGAGCCTGTGATGGACAAAGCCCGTCAACTGCACTCTGAATACATTTTTTTTTTGCAAATTCTCCATAAGCAAAGGGTTTTCCACGCTTAGTAATTTTTTCTGCTATCATATAACTAACACGAACACTATTTTCAGATTCTTTATTCGCTGTAGTGAAGAAAGTCTGCTGAAAATTTAATTTTGGTTTTAATTCACTCACCTTATCACTTCGAAAATGACCTTCCAATGCAGAATATTTCTCACTGTGCTTAGTATCATAATGCCTCTTAATGTTATATTCCTTCTCCACAGCTACACTGTCGTTGCAAATAAGGTAAACTGGCTAAAATTCGTCGTTTTCAGAAAATTTTATCTCAAATAATATCAGACATGTCAATAAAATGTTTTAAATATCAAGAAGATAAAAAAACGTTTTTTTACCACAAAAAGCTGACAAGGCAATTTTTCTTGAAATCAAAATTTCTTAAAATACTTCAATTTTTCTTCAAATTCAAATGTGGTGCCACAAAAATGCCTTCAGAGGGCCACTGGTTGAAGACCCCTACGCTACATGATCTACATCACGTTATTTTCACTGAACTGAACACACATGCGCTTTGCACGGCATTCGCTTCCGAAGCATCCGGTTTATGGTTCACGAATCGTCATTAGAGTTTTGGAATAGATCTGTACACAAAGGACGAGCAAGTGAAGGTCAAGGAAATATTTCGCTTTACGAAAAGAAACGTTCGTGGAAAAACGGAAGGAGCCTTTCAAAAGTTAATTGTTTAAAGTACGCCAAGATATTCTATGATGAAAAGCGCTCGTCACTGTGCTTCTGTGTATTCTCTCACACCTTAAAGTTTGTTCTATTAGTTTTGGAACACCCTGTATAATCTGTTTAAAAATGAATTAACACAATTTCTTGTTTTAACAATGAGTTTGAAGAGTCTCTCGGCAATAGTTAAATGACAGTTTTACAGCATATTAAGTAAGTGTATGTAAAATGCATAATGCATATATTTCCTTTTCACTAACTTACATTTCTTCCGTATAATTTGGATAAATGATCGAATTTCATAATAGCGAATTTTGGAAATAACAGCGATTCTGCGCAGCGGAATTTCTGAAAGCTTTGTGAAACAGTTCGCTATGTAACTTATAAATTATATAAATTAGGAAAAATGATCTCAAACGTAAGTATTCAAGATCCAGCAGTTTTGGCTTTTTAATATTTGCTTAAAATGTTTCAGTAATCATAAAGCACGTTTTCCCTGACCTTCCACTGAACAAAGATCGTCATGCCATAAAATCAAAATAAACAAGTATTCTAAAGAATACCTACATGATCGTTGATGTAATACAGAAAACATTTACCTAGTTAGAATAATGGCTTGTAAACTTCCCATGAGCAATAAGACAGTCAAACAACAAACCATACTGTTGGCAAAGCCCTCATCTTTTTCACTATAATACTATAAGAAGAAGATTTGATTAGTTTAGTTGTATTTAAATGCAAGAAAATTTCCACAACTACAGCGTTCTTAAAGAGAGCCAATAATAACATTTAAATGAATAAACAAGAACATCAGATTTAAAGAGCACGAGTTTTAGCAATATATTTTGTGTAGAAAAAACTATCAAAATACACTGGTGTGCAAAAATTAAGAACGAGGCAGAGAAATTAGTATAAAAACAACAAAATGAATCGGAAGACCAGTTATGAGGTAAACTTGAGCCAGGAAGTAGGGCATGCGGATATATTGCACATGACTTAGGGGAGGGGTGATGGAAGGTTATAAAGCACACGGGCGGTGTATGTTTGCTGAAAACTATTGCATGGTGTACACTAATTTCAACGATGTCGAGTTGCTTGCTACTACCGTATGATATGGCCAATAGACAATCCAGGAAACGTAATCTGGATGGTCCAAAGTCGCGTCACTGGAAAGCTGGAAGAAGGTCGAAGTGTGACAAGTGTGGCGAAGGAGTACGGAACCGCTTACAACATCGTATCACGAGCCTGGAGAGTATTTCAAATGGCAGTAACAGCTCTTCGAGAGTTCAGCAGTGATCGTTCACGAGCAACAATGACGGTGGACGACAAGTATATTGTTCTACTGACGAGAAGAGACAGGCAAGAGAAAGCAGGAAATATTGCAAGGCACACGCAAAAGACTACTGAACGTCAAATATCACGTTTTACCGTGGCCAGGAGGCTGCACGAACATGGTCCATTTGCAAGATGACCAGTATGGAGAAGGTGCCGGAGTTGTCGTCTGGGGTGGTCTTATGCTTGGCAGCAGCACTGAATCCTATATCTCTCAAGACGGTTTAGTCACTGGTGTCCGCTATTGTATTATACCGACGTTCTCTTACCTCACGTGTGTCTGTTTAGAGGTGCTACGGGTCCTCTTCATGGATGACAGCGCTACAATTCATCATATAGTAGCTGTCTCAGAGCTCTTGGAGAATAAAGTCAACGCATGGATCGACCTGTAAGGTTCTCGGACCTAAATTCCATAAAATATGCGTGGGACCTTCACGGAAGTCGCCTGGCAGCTCGTAAACAGCTGCCAGAAATGCTTCCGCAACTGAACGCTACAAGTGGAATGGAAAGCGATGCCTCAACAGCTCTTTGGCAACCTTCTCCTCAGCGTGGACAGAAGTTGCAATTCCTGTATCGCAGTCAGAGATCATATCCCTTTCTAAAGACTGATTTTTATTGCAAGGTGCCTGTCACATGGGCATTTCTCTTTTCTCTCCAGTTGTGCTCGAAACTACTTTTTCAATAAAGGGTTTTCCTTTTGATTCCTTATTCGGATGGCTTTGCTCACTTGTTCCATACATCTAGGGGGTCTTGTGGCATGATTTGAGCCGAAGTAGAACACTTCTGCAGGACGTTGCATTTGAAAAACCGTCTCTTTCCTAAATTTTACACATCAGTATACAAACATGGAATGATGATATTAGAAAAACTGCAGATCATAAGAAGTAATAACATAATGCTTAATAAAAATGATATTATTTTTAAAGTTATTTATCTGTTACATAAAATACAACTAGTTATTTACTTAAGCTGTGACTGAAGTTTAGTTATTTCTAAATAGTTTAACACATAAAACGGCTTCATGATAATATAAAACTCATGCACTTAACCCTGATCTTAACATAAACAGAATTCTTTAAATAAAGAATATTTATTTTATAATTTCACCAAATGTCATTCCTTGGTGGCAGGCAATTATGTCGTGTCCCACTAAAAAAACACCTTTAAAATAAATAAAAAAATAATAATTTAGATTAATGGAATGGTGTCGAGGAGAATGAAAAGTGTCAGTTAAGAACATTATAAATTTCTTGAATATACACACTGAATACAATATCTGAAACGTTATCTTCAGTTTTATTTCCTGTAACTTGAATTTCGCTAGTTCTTATTTTCTCTGCTACTCGTTAGGCCTCAAATCATCGAAAAATAATTGAAGAAATTAAATGTGCAGTTGATTCAGTAATATCTTAGTTGGAATATCAGTTCGTGTCTGCTTTGTTGGGTTTGGTTGGTTTTTGTTTGAAGGGAAAAGTTCGTCATGTTATTTTGCATTAGCTTGTGAGGGTTTGTCTGTGTTAGTAAGACGAAAACAATCATTACTTGGACGAGTCCGTTTTTTTTAAAATTTAAGAGAGCATGTTTTTTTGAACGCACTGAAGAAGGCAAAAGTTACGTGAATATTAAAAAAAATTCAGAACCCAGCGCTAAAAAAGCTAGGGGGTTAGATTAAGCAAGGAAATATGGTAATCATAGACTAACACAAGGACTGAAAAAATTACAATTATTTGTTACATAAAATAAATAACTTTCAAATACACAGCTGCTGCAAACTATGTGTATTAACATTTATCTGTTTCTTTACTTAAAATTCTTCAGTAAAGTATCATAAAATGTAAGTAAAATAGCAGTTAAAAGCAGGGATGTATTTTCATAATATTTATGTGATAATAAATGACAGGTAGAACAATAAATCACCTGTCGTTCTTTCAAATGGTCCTTGAAACACAAAGTTAAAACATTAATATGAGTTGATTTCTCTTGGTCTACGCTTCGTGCTTCTATTGCTTGAGCAAGGTACTTGTTCACTCGACTAGTTGGTTGATGGTATACAGTAGAATGCCTTAAAATGAATTTTTATTGTTAATACATATACAATATTTCTACTCTATATTTTACTTTACAGCCTGCACAAAAATAACCTTAAGCAACAGAATAGTAAAGCATTACTTTTCAAAATAGTTGATATAAATGAAAGAGCTTCTTCCACTAAAAAATTTTCAATTTTAAAATTATGTAAATATAACAGATATTTGAATTTTAAAAGGATTCAATTTTAAAATTATGCAAATATAACAGATGCTTGAATACATTTTAGCATAAAGCATATATTTTCTTAATCGGAATTTAATATTTCATACAAATTATATACTAACCTTTTTTTAAAAGGCTTTCTAAGTTTATCAGCTAACGAAGACTGTAACAAAATGAAATAAAAATTATGAAGCATACAGTACCAGCAAAATCACTTTAAGCTAATCTAATAGCGCTTAAAAAAAAAAAAAAAAGGAATATAATTACCATCTTGGTTCCAGGTTTCTCTGCTGCAGAACCACTGGCCACGGCCATATTTGAGAACGGAACATCCATGCTATACTTTATAGAATGTAGCAACTGAACCACAACATTTGAGACATTTTTAAAAGAAAGCTTTCGACGGCTACCTACAGGGCGCATCTGCAAATTGCTAAACATCAAGGGCTGTATTAAAAAATGAAAAAGTATAAAATATATTTAAAAATAAAATAAGGTTTGGCCTATATATTTGAAACAAAGAACACTATCTAAATTTGTAATTAAGAAATCAAGCATGAAAACGTGAAACATTCAATCAATCAGAACACAAAAGACACATTTTCTAAAATATCATTTAACATGCATAATATAATGACTATTACATACTGATACTTCTTTGCGTAATTATGTCTAATATTCAAATAAAAATTAAAAAATAATGGAAGAGATTGAAGATTAATCTATTTCGTTCGAAATTATCTAGGAACCTTTCAGAAAGGTTTTAAAAAAAGGAGAAAACGGAAATACATCCGCCTAAATAGTAATTTCTTGAAAGCTGTGATTTCAATGATGTGCATTTGTCTATTTCTTTGCAGAAATTCTAATGAGTCACAGACTGCATAAGAATTTAAGTCAGGAATAAATGCAAAAGTTGCACATTAATTTAAACATTAGTAATATGGGATTACAAACCTGCCACGCACTAGCGTCAATTCAATATACGCAATGCGTTCTAAGGGAACAAAGACAGCAACCTCTTACAGAAGATCTATCTGACTGACTGAATAGTATTACATATGTACACATCGTTTAGGATTTAGGATTTAGGAACATAAATATGTCTTTAGACATAAATCGACAAAAATAGACTAAATTAAAACAGCGATGCCAGATTATTGTCCAACAAAAAAAGAGGGCGGAGACATCTTTCGTGGATACAAATTTAAAATTACAAATTTCTGTGGATACAAATGACCAAAGGAAATTTGCGACTCAGTCTTAATTGCAAATTAAATTTTGGGCGGATATTAATATGAGAAATCCATTTTCGAAACGTTCTTTTACAATAGTAGGTCACACATAAACAGATAAACAAAAATGTACATCTGAATCTATCAACACTATGTATGTTTTCTGAAATGTGCGTCTAAAAGATGAACCACAATTAACGTCTTTCTAACCCCTTCCATAAAAAGTATTTGAGTAAGTAATTCTGAATTTCATGTTAAATAACTTGATAAGTCAATTGTTAAAATTTTGCTCTATATACAAGCATTTCTTTGCTGAACTCATCAATTTAGAAATTAAGTAAAATTTCGAATGGGGGCAAATTCAAATATACAATAACAGTGTTACCAAATACTCTCTGCATTAAAAATGTGTAGCTAAAGTAAAAAATTTATGAGAAAATACCTTATATTCATTAAACTAATGATCTAAATTTTGTGATGCTCTTGTAAAGTATAAAATTTATTCAGAATTCTAATCTGACTTTAAATGACTTATTCTGATACATTGTTGGTAAGGAAAGTACTGTTATAACTTGGAAGATAAATTTAAAAATTCTAATGCTAGTCCAAAATTTGCTGGGCAATGTGAATAATTAATGCGGTAATGGCGAAAACAAGTGGAAAGGGATGTGACAGTAACAAGCACAGGTACAAGTAGTGGGACTAGAATTTCACCATTGGCCGTACAAGTATATTCCCACAACATTAATTGAGCAGGTCCGTGCCCGTTTTGATGGAGAAGATCCTGAGAGACAATCCAAGGGTTTCTCACTTTTCTTCTACTACTACCAAATCACTTGAGAGGGCTTTCGACTCATCAGTATTTTAAATACCCTCATGCCGCACAGACACTGTACACTTACAAACATCCATGCCCTCTCCAGGATTCGAATTGATTCCATACCAATGCAGCATCACTAATCACTATACGGGCTAGGACGGCCCGACGATGAGAAAACGTAACGCAACTTGTCATTATGGGAAAAAAATGGAAATAGTATATGAATTTCAAAAATCAAATCAAAATTTAAATTCAAAAGCGAATGCAATTATTACACGAATCGAGAAATGATTAAAGAAATGATGATTTAACAAATTTTATCATTGATAATGGTTGTAGAGCTATGTTAAAGAGAGACGGTAGCCTGCCTTTTAATTGCAGGCTATTGTCTATGATTAATAATATCAGTTTAGAGAAATGCAGAAACAACTGCGAAAAGAAGTTCGACGGATGGGGAAAACTTAATGGAATGCCATGCCGAATAAAGTGAAAAATGATTTTCCCAGCAGAGCCTTTTAAGATTTTAGACGAAATTCCAAGTAGCTGTATAGGATGAAATAAAATAAGGACAAGATCTAATGTTAGACTTAGTTAGCTGTCATGAAAAAAGTGTATGAAACCATGAATTATATCGTCCACTTCCAATAAAATAATCAAATGAATCAACTACGGAAAAACTTTTAGGAAACTTGATCACAGTTTCGGATTCTAAAGGACAGATGTCTCTCTAGCAGATAAGTAGCAAATCAAACAATTATCACAACACTCGTAATTTTGACTCAAAATAAATTTAAATGTGTAGTACTTTCAAGCTAGTATGGAGGAAGCGCTAGAACGACGCAAAGAGAATTCAAACGTTGAAGGATAGTAAGATACACTTGAAACAACTTGATTTGCTGAATATAGCAAATGATAATATCGAAAATAACGATGAAACAGCGATGCCAGATTATTGTCCAATAAGAAAAAGAGGGCGGAGACATCTTTCGTGGATACAAATTTCAAATTACAAATTTCTGTGGATACAAATGACCAAAGGAAATTTGCGACTCAGTCTTAATTGCAAATTAAATTTTAGGCGGATATTAATATGAGAAATCCACTTTCGAAACGTTCTTTTACAATAGTAGGTCACACATAAACAAACTTGTAATGAAGAAACAATCTGCAGTCCAGAAGATAGGATTAATTAACAAGTACTGTTTATTAAGTTAACAAGTATTATTTACATTACAGTGCACCGGTGGCCAAGGGATAAACTTGCTGAACACTGGTAGTTCTAGCCGGATTTAAATTCCGGAAAAGGGTTGGTTGCAGTTTTCCTAAGAAAGTCCTTCATGAAGGCCTCTTTTCACTTGTGTAGATAACAACGAGTGCTTTGCCGCAATCTAAATAACCAAATCTAATTCAATCCTTCATGATCCATAATATTTCAGAAACTTCGTATTCAGCTAAAACCTAAATGGCTTAGGGAAATTGCCAACAGGAACCATTTCAGAAAATTATGGGAAATCATACCTCTTAACTCTAACGATACTATGCACGGGAACCAAAGCCAAGTTTAAAGAGATATATTGTCGTATTCCTAAATGTATACTTTATCTACAGCGCACAAGTAATGAAGAAATGAATGATGACCAATGGAATATGATTGATGTGAGCTTACAACTAATGAAGAAAGCTGCAATTCACAGACTGTAGAAGAAGTAAAAGAAGCTCTTCCAGTTATCTAAGTAAATGAGTAAGTTGCAAGATTATTCTGAACAGTAATGAATTCATTAAAGATTTGGATTACAACCATGTTTACCAGGCTTTGAAACCTACATGGCTTTGCAACCATGTCTACCAGGGAGTACGCGTTTGATTACACTGTTGCCACGTAAGACAAATGTGCTATAAGGAGTTGAGTACTTGCCAGAAATAAAGCAAAAGTGACAACTAGATGTGCATCATAAGGTGCAGAAGATGAAAGCATTAAGAAGCAGATTTGGCAGGACTGAAACCTAACTTCAACTGCGTAATTTAATCCAGCAGATAAAAACACTCCACGATTAGAGAATACAAGACTAAAATCTAGTATAAAGTGAGAAGATTAAGTAAAACAGGCTTGATTTGTTTGATTATGGCAAACCAAACGTAAACAAACGTGACTATCTGCTCAGGAAAGGGATACCTTTGCGGAGGACTTTCTAAGGGACACTGGCTCGTATTGATAAATTATATACATGGGAGAAACTGCGAACTTGTCCCCCACAAACATTCATAACCACATGCAGCCAGCTCGTTCACCATGATTTGAAGCCTGTTCGAACTACCAGTGTTCAGCGACTTTAACGCTTGGCCACAGGTGAACAAAATTTATTTTCTGTTTTTTTAATCAAATAAATAATTTTTTTAAATTAAAATCAATATTTTCTTCATCCCCATATACATATCTGTTTTCTCCTTTCATTGGCAGCTATCATTCCGACACGTAAAGGCACTTAATATAATTTTGTTGGAAATCGGATAAAAAAAGGCTAAATACATGCATATAAAATACGTATCGATATTTTAGTTTATGGGAGAGAGTTTGAATGTTGAATGAAAATTGTCTTCAGTTTTTTAACTCTAGTAGTTCTGAACTATTTTAAGTACATCCTTTTGTATACAGTGAAAAATGAACAGCTCACTTTTACTCATTAATGTAACCAGTGGTTACATGTGCATTATTGATTCAGCGTGAATTTCTAACCATATAGAAGAGGATAAAAGGAAATACGAATGAAGTGTTTAAAATTTCTTCACGAGTACGTGGGCAAAAATATATTCGACAGTTCCTTATATTACTATTTTCTACGTCCCACGAAACGAAGTTTTAAATACCAATTTTATGCACCTGAATTACTTCCCCTTCGGTGGTATTTATTATATAAATATATTATTTGCTGAAAAAAATGAATAAAATTAAGTCTTCACTGAAGACATCAAGAGACAGCTTCTTTTACTTAAAAAAATATAAATAAAAAATTAAAAACATACAAAATTGCCCTATCTGCTTCAAGAAACTCGTTTACTCTAGTAATCTGGCAAAGCCAAGATCGTTGGTAAGTATTGTTTTTAAAATTAGTTACTCCAGACAGTCTTAGCATAAACGTACGCTTATGTGCCGACTTTTGCAGCAAAATGAAAGTCTGTCATTGCTCTTCAGGTACTTGAGAAGAGAAGGTGTGAAAAGGCATCGGGGCTAAAAAATCTTCGATTATAGGGTAAAAAAGGGGGGGAAGAAGATAGAGAAAGAAAATCAAATGAATTTTAAAAAGTACATCTTTACTTGTTACTTCACTGGGAAATGAATGAATCAGTGACGGATTTTATTATTTTAAAATCATGCCATATGGTGAAAAACAGAATTCTAACTGGTTGTTTTAATCGAAGGTTCAAAATTCAGTGTGGTGTTTTTATAATGTATTATTTTTTTAAGCATAGGCACAAACCACTTCAGCTTATAGATGGTTTCAATAACTGTAGAAAACACGCATTGGCAATTTAAGAGCTTTCCATTTCTCACATTAATTCTTTTATTGCTTAGCAAGAATTATTGCAATGACGTAGTTTATATTATACTACTGATAAAATGAATAAAAATTATGAATATAAACTCTGATATTCCGAAGAGCTGTAGAAGAAATTTTATTTTCACCTAATAATTATCTTACTTTGGATGAGACTTATGAAAAAAATTGGCAAAATAAATAATGAATTATTCAAAGCTTGATCGAATTGTTAAGAAAACTGTGAGTCATTTTGCACTAGTAGATTATGTAAACAGAATTAGAAACAGGAAGGAAAGAAATCAGTATCTTTGTCAGAGACCACCAGAAGTATTATATATTATAGTTTAGTTAAGAAAGTACTTAATAAAATTTAAGCTGGCATAAACTTTTCCACCTATTACTTGAAATAATCGATACAATTGTTAGGAACTGGTAAACATTTATTTGGGGAAACAGTATCTGAGCTTGGTTTAGATATTATAAACTACGATAACAGAGGTATACACAGAGGTACGATATACACAGAGGTACGATATACAAAGGTATACAGATCTATAACAATTAATTTAAATCTTTTTACCATTTATGGGTCTTGTATATCACATTATTTTCGTTTGTTAATATATGAAGTTATAACGTTGCGCGCCTCCAACTTGCACGCAACCAAGAGGTGACTGTGAAAACTTGTATAAAAGATAGAGCCTTGTGAAGGGTTTAAGTCCCTTTTTATTCAACGTAATAAATTACAATTGCGTGCTCTTGACGCTCACAGACTGTGCCAACTTGGCAGTCAAATAAAAATAATAACCTGAAAAGAAAGTAAAGACAAGATTCTAACTACGAGGCTCTCTAAAATAACTAACTCACCGCGTTTTACAATACCGCTGCTAATTCAGCAGACTTGAAGCTCACTGGAACGATTAACACTACTTCCCGCCAAGCACATAGGCCGAAACGCGGGGTCCTTCAAATCTCGCTAACTACCTCCGCGCTCGCTAAGTAAGAATATCACACCGAACTCGTTTCCTTCTATTTAAATCAGAATACTTCCGCTGATAATTTGAATCCTTGCGCGTTCTACTAAAATTTACATATTCTGGCATTGGCAGTTCCAGGGGAAAGTAAGGCTTGACAGGAAAGATAGTTTAAACTTAAAATAAATGTTAGTTAAAATAAATATAAACCCTACACAGTAATAAATAATTACTTTTTTAACTACCGCAGTGCTTATTCAGCTCGCTGTATCGACAAAAAGACGGGAAATTATAGAAAAGTATTCAAGTATTATGTGTAAACCAAAGTGCGATCATTATCTCATTGGGAAGCCAAAATAAATTCAGTGTTTGACTGCATGTAAACAATTAAAAGTGGGGAAGGGAAGGCCTAGTACTTTCGAAGATTTTATTTGTCATAGCTAATGATTACAGCAGTGGTATATTAAACACAGATTACATTAGATTAATATGATTTACTGTCTAGAATAATTAACACTACAATTTTTGAAAACAATACTTGACGTAGTTCTCTACTTAACAAATAAATTAAAAATGGAATACTATATTAATGAACACATTCTGACAAATTATTAGATTTAGTGAAGAATATAGCATACGGATGAATATTTCACAAAACCTTTCCGATAAAAGAATAAGGAAGAAAATGAGACTCTTCTCTGAATTCGTAAAGGATAAAATATAAAAATCCTGCATAAATCTTTACAGAGCTTTCAAAATCATAACTCATAAAGTTAGTTATGAAAAAAAAAGAAAGATGAAAATCAAATCTAAAATTATTTCTATTTTTAAACTGGTGGAAAAATACTAAAACGCAATAAATTAATAAACAATTACGTAATTCCGCAGCATCTGAAAAGAAAAACGTCGATGAAGAATGAGCTCAAGAAATTATTTCATTATAATAATAGATTTTTAATGGAAAAGATTAATATATGTGTAGATCATGTTTTCATGTATATCAAGAAACAATTACAGTAATCTTGTATTGTTATTCATTGTATACAAAAATATATCCTCATAAAATTATTTATTGCATTTTGTTCTAATTACATACACCTAATACACTGCGCCTTGTTTATCCCAATTTTTCAACAATAAATTTAAACAAAGTGATAAACAAGGAGTAATGTTTTTCATACAATTTAAATAACACAAATATATTTAATTGCTGCAAAGACTTTTCATTACATTGCTAATGCAAGTGCAGACTTTTAATCTAGCAAACTAGGCTGCCTGAAAATTGCTTCACTGGCTGGGGACATATCCTCAAGTTAAGCGAAAACATGCAAAATCGCGAGCATCTACGATGGAAGTCGTCACTCGAATGATGCGCTAAATAGGAAAATCGGGATAGCCAAATTTCGTCAGTTTATACGGCCAGGATTACTTTAATAAACTTAATTAACTAATGCTACTAGGACGCACCACATAGTAACTATGAATTGTAATATTTGGAAGAGTGCAAATGTAATAAAATTGCTCTCATTTTGAATTTTGGATAGATATAAAATATCCTACTTTTTAAACGTTTTATTCATATCCTAATAGCCTCATAATTAGTAGCAAAACTGCATTGCTTCTTTAAACTTGCGCCTTGTGCATTCAACGCAGCTTCAAAAAAAGTAACTAAATAAAATTCTTGCATCAGTTCCGTTGTTAAGTGATTGAACATATTAAACGATTGAAGTCCCTTATTTCTGTTTATTGTTATTGGTATAAAAAGTTAAAAACAATTAAGAGACACTTGCCTTCCTTCTATGACTGGGCGGAATAATAAAGTAGGATACCACATTGTGCTCTCTTAAATAGGAATTTCGATCAGCTCCGCGTCCAGGCTCTACCTCGTATTCGCCATGCAGATAATCTAAAGTCGCTTGCGTTACATGCACACGTCTGAAATAGAAAACATATTTTTAAAGTGTTTTTGTCTAAAACAATACAATAAAGCAAGTAAGAATATAAAGTTATCTAATAAATTCTATTCCTTACCCAGGCTCGCCACCAGCTTCCATGTAATTAGCAAGAGTTACATCGTTGCTCCAAACATCGTACTGCCATTTACGTAGTCCAAGAACACCACAAAGAACGCGACCTGTATGGATACCTACTCTCATGTTTAGATGAACGTCTGTTGCTTCAACTACAGACCTGTTAATTCAAGGAAAAAACATTAATTTATTTTACATTCTTGCAAATGAATCTTGAATTTTAAAGTGCTCCCAATTCTTGACCGAATTCAATTAAAGAATATTATTCGCATATGTAAAATAAATGACAAAAAATAGTACAGTAATGATGCTATAAAATAATGAATTGCTAATTTATGTTTTAAGACAATTAGAAATTAAATATTCGAAAGACCTACGTGCATTTCGGAGAACGAACGAAAATGTTCAGTAATAGTAATAATAATAATCAATTGTTTTATACGCACTTTCAATACCAGAAAAAATCAAGTAGCTTTTAAATAATAATAAATAAATAATAAATAATCACATGAAGGGCATTTGGTCTCCTAGCATAAGATTTACACGGGGGGGGGAGGGTAAGAAAAGAAACAGCAAATTATGCTCACATCTCCAGCCAAAGTTGGTTATAATAACTAAAACAGCAATAGGTGTTTTCGTTATAGTACTGCATAAAATTAAAAATTACACTAATCCTTTGCATTTTATTCGGATATAAAACGAAAAATGAAAATTATGTGCAATCCTTAGGGAACAAATATCGAAAGAACCCATCGCTCTACTAGAGAACATTTAAAATGCATGTGAGTTGCTTATACTTCTTTATATTAAGAATTCTTTTTTGTTTTTCGGATTTTTCAAACTTCTTTTTTTCCGTCTCTTCCAGTACTACTCGTCTGATGTAGAATATAACAGATAATACATTAGAACAGCTTTAGAAACTGCACTAAATATTAGAAAGACTGTCATGCTGCTTGTAGAATTAAAAAAAGATTTTATTATTAGTTTTTACTTGCTAACTATATATATGAGAAAAATGTTTAGTAAGAGATCAAGTTAATTAAGTTAAGAGACAGTTAACTGTACGTCTGGTCTATAAACTGTAAAAAGCAGTAAGAAGGAACAATGTCCCACATTTGCTTGAATTTCAACATGTGTATGAGATTAATTAAATTTATAAATTGTAGGAAGGAGACGACAGATAAGTCTAAAATGGAGTCTTTTGAAGCAATCAAGTTACGTCTGTCGTTATCTGTCAGTTATTCTGTGTTAACTTGAATTTATATTTATTCAGACTAATTTTAGTTGCTGTTATACTTAGCTGTAATCTCAGGTACGATTGCCTTCTACTGAACTTTAAAAAGTGTTTTTATTGTCAATCTAGAGATAAAACTTACTGTAAGTCATATTATGTTTAAACATGCTGCAAAAAACTGTTTCGGAAGCAGAAACTTAACTGCACGAAAATAAGGCAAATAACGAAATATTTGACTTAGTGTGTGTTTTAAGCTGACAACTACGATTAAAGCACGTCAACGAGAGTTAATGAAATGCATTAGTTTTTAATATATCGTTGTAAATATGTGTACATATTCCTGTTGTTGTACATTAGCGTTTTTGCATTCTGGAAACTGTACTGAATTATTTTTAATATACTATATCTATATAGAATATAATAAAGCAGACTTAGATATACTGGTGTAGCATAAGTTTATGGCTTAAAACTGTTGTCTTTCTTTGATGCTGAAGATGATGATTCAATATAAACAGCAAACTGGACAGCCAAGGCAGATTAAATATTCATTTTTATTTCCGTAACATTTTGCGGCCACAGACAAATTGGCATATCACTCGTGCCTGTTTCAAAATGTTTACATTTCTAACAGCTGTTCTATAAAATGCGAAGCAGCGAACATAGTCCAGCTAGGTCGAAGTGCAGAAAGCAAGTAACTTGGGTTCGAAATGAAATCTTAATTTAGAATGCTTAATCTTAATTTAGTTTTGGTTTTCAGTGCATTAGATCGGATAACTAATAAAGCTGTAAAATTATTATTGGCTATTTGAGTTTTAGTTCCATTTACATCATCAACGTTATGCAAGAGTCATAAGACACTGTTTACTCTCGAAATGACGCAGTTCAGAAAAAGGTTACTATTTTTAGAATAGAGAGGGGAAATACTCAAATTAAGCATTAAAGGGCTATTGCTAATTTAAATTAAAATTTACATTTTTTGTAATATTTCTTAAACATATATATATATATCCTTTATATTTTGCATTTATCATAAAATTATGTATATTCATTATGTATTTATGCTTTTAATTACTTAAGTATGCTTTATTTTGTGAAATTTTTCCCATATAGAGTTTGGAAATCGCTTCAGCTAGGGATACCGAATCACGGAAATTCTTTGGCCTTGGCAAAAAATTTAGGAACATTTAGCGAAATTTTGAGGAATTTTATGGCTATAGATGGCTTTTAAAATTCTGGTTTGGAAATTCTTGGATTGCTAGAAATTAAGACGTAAGAAATTTTCGGAATTCGAACCCTTGCCTGCAAGAATTTTGTACAAGGAAGCTAGGAACAGTTAGGGCGTTGTCAAGGCAGTATAAAAGAATTTTTATTCCTTAATAAAACGGCTTGCGGTTTTAGTGTGACTTCTGATTGCTATGGTATCTATTTCAGCTTTTAATTTCGAATGTTCTTAGCGTTAGCATTTCTTCTGTTTCAAAACTGAATTTTCGGTATTTGTTTCTGTCTGTCGTAGAATTTTCGACAGTATCTTCAGCAACACTGGACTTTCTTTTATTTTCCTCATCATATGTATTGAATGCAATATTTTTTTCAACTTCAGCAAAGATCAAGCTTACCAGATCATTAAACTGCTTATTCAGTAAATCAAATAAAATATTTATCATGCAATGATAATAAATAATTTCTTTCGGAATTATTTTTATTGAATATCTCTTTACGCAGTTCTTATCCAAAAAATGTAGAGTTACGTACTCAGAGTGACTAGGGTTTGAGAAAATATAAAAAAAAAAGGACTAATTGTTAGTCTTCACATAATGTTATGTGAAATAAATATTTTTGCACTCGTAAAAATAAAAGAAGAAGAAAGGGTAGAAAGCATTTCAAAGCGATCGTGAAAATTATTCTGATGGCTCAAGAAAGATCTCCAAAAGGTACGCAAGTCTGGGAACAAAACTAAGATTCCAGTTAAAATCTAGCATTGAAGGCCGCAAATTAATTAAATCTGAATAATCTGAATATTAGCCTACATGCTAAATATAGTGCTCCTAAAAATGCCTCTTTAGATAAGATGTTTTAACTGCAATATTTTCATTATTCATTGCAAGTAATTCAGAATTCCTTGTTTCGCTAAATGTTTAAACACGGCTGAGAACTTTTAACTCCATATCACTTACTAATCTGTATGGTAAGTAATCGTTCTCCTTTTTTATTCCTTGCCGGCTGGCAATCGGAAGGTCGGGGTTCGAGTCCTGGCGAGGACATTGCATATTTTAGACGGCTCATGTGCCGAGAAACTTGCTGATCCTATAATTGGCGCCAAACTCTCAAGAACATCTCTGCGACGAGGTAACTTTTAGATAGCCCCCCTAAGTTTCTTGCAACCCCAGCTAGCTCAGTGGAAGGATATGGCTATGTTTTAGATATAATGCGAGCGTCGATGAAACCGTCAGTAGTTTCGACGAGAAATTTTGGTGTTAAATCTTTAGAAAGCTTAGAAAGTCACTTATTATACCCAGTTATAGACGTTCAAAATATTGCTGTAGCAACCGTCGCATTGCGAGGTGAAGCATTGGACCAGTGGACGGGTACCAGAAAATATCTACTAGGTGTACCAGGAAGTGAAATTTTTAAATTTTATATATTCAAAGCGGCACTCGTGAGAGTATTTCGTTTGGTTAGCTACAGAGCTTTTGGCAGCGTCGTCTGCAGTTTACGTTCTATCACCCAGCTCTGCAAGTGAAAATTCCGGCTTTAGCCATTTCGCTAGCCGACGATAAAATCAGGGCCGCCTGGGCCAATTAGATACTTGCCCGGGGATAGCACGAGCGTAGGAGCCCCACCTTAATTAATTCATTTACATTTCCTTTCTGCGAGTAGTTGTCGTAGAAACCCCAGCACACTCGTTTACCCAGAAGCACATTTTCTGTTAAGGTGGCACTGGTTAAAAAGCGCCATTAAAATACTGAACCAACTTAAATAGGCCTGGTTTTGTCGTGTCTGACTGCTTTAATTTGAAATTTCAAATTATGTTACTTTAAACATATGAAATGGCAATGCTTTGATAGTATGCGCGAGTTCTTCCGTCTGATTAAGTTCAAGATTAAATGAAAAGATGATTTAAAATCTTCTCAAAACTTTGTCATAATATTTCTTGCTTGTCCGTCTCATAGGTTCAGAAGGACTTGGAGTTTATTCTTCACAATAGGACCCAATTAATCACACATCCTTTTCACCCCATTCCACCCATGAATATTATAAGCTCTTGTCTAAGAAGCAGTCAAAGCAAACTTTAATTTTTGCCCTTCTCCTTGATACTATTACTAGCAAGTGGTAAACCAAAATTATTTTCTTTCAGGCGATAGACCACTTCAAAAAAAGTTAAGAAGCTGTCAAATATGAGGCAGTTAAAAAATAAGCAAAAATCTATTACTTGAGAACAAAAGGATTTACGGTTTTTCAATTAACGATACACTGAAGAAGAAACACATTGGAGGAAAAAGATGATACCTTTTCTTTCATAACTCACCAACTGAAATCATACATAATTGTTCACGCAATTTATCCAAATTTCAAAAGCTTTATTTTTTCTTTAAATAACTCTTTTAATTAAAATACTTTACCTGAAAACTGCTTCGATAATACTTGTTCCGATAAATAGGATTTTCCTAACACAGAGAGCCTAATTCTCGAAATTCAGCCTGAAAATATGTAACAAATCCGGGCAAGAAAGATAAATGTAAACTATAATAATAACGTAGAGTGTATTTTAAATAAGCAGTTGCACGCTATCCAAAACGGCTAAATATATATTTGTATCAGAACGAACTGCGAATGAACAAATTCAGAAGTCCAACGGTAAACTGCATTAAAAAAGTATCATGAATAGAAATGTTTATAAGAGATAAGCAGAATGATGTTCCTCCTAGTGAATAGACGTATTTTCCATTTGACGAACAGCTAAAGATCAATTGATTTGGTAAGCATACTAGGAAATTTCCATAATTATTTATTACAAATGCCTGACTTTCGGTACATAAGCCATCAGCTGTATTTGCATATTTATTTCATTTTTTTTAGTTTCAATTTTATTCATACTTCCAATAAATCTTAATGCAACAAGTGACATATTCTGTACCTAAAATGACGTTAAAAACTAGCAGAAATAGCTTGAATGTCCTTAATGTTATATCTTTTCTATTTTATTTAGCTTACTTGAACTTTATTTATTGAATAGAACCTCAATATTTCGTATGATATTTCGTAGGAGTTAAAAAGTTAAAAATAAACTAGCTATGAAAACTTACACTATAATTACTATACAGTTTGTATTTGAATAAAAATTACATTCAAGAACAAAGTTTGATGTACACGCACAGTATTAATAAATGAACATAAATTAAGAGTAAAAGAAAATAAAAGGCACTTACGCAATGACATCAATCATGTCTAATCCCATTTCTACAGCACAATGGGCGTGATCAGATCGAGGCTCTGGTAAACCACTAACGCAATAGTAACAGTCTCCTAGAATTTTGATCCTCAAACAGTGGTTGTCCTATAAAAACACAAAGTAAAATGAAACATAACAAAATAATTTCACGCTATCAACGCCAAAATATATAACTGCCTTAAATATTACGAAACACAAAGACAAGATATTAACGGAGGTTAAAATTGTCATTGTAGTTTCAACGGAAAAAGAAGCATCCAAAACAGAAGAAGAAATTAGAGAAATTACTAAATTAATCATTTCCAAAAGCCTGGTAAACAAACAAAGAAATTTAAGTAAATACAAAGAATGCACAATCAAAATTATAACACATACCATCCTTCGTGGAATGCTAGAAGAAATACTTCATGTCAATTTAAATATAAAGGACCATGTTTTATGCGACTGAGATATGCGGTATAAAACAAAAATAATAAATAAATGAATAAAAGTGTTCATTTATAAGAAAGATTATTCGTATGTTTTAAGAGGTTCTAATAAGGCGTTGTCAAAAGAACCGAACGGATAGAACATTATTAAAAAAATTTGGAACACGCTGTTATAAAAAGGCATTAGTAAAAATGTATAACGCAAAATAAGTGATGTAAAATGCATATATTAAAACAAACACGAAGCAAGGCTTAACACGAAGCAAGATTTTGAGCGTTAAGTACAATAAATTGATAGAAAATTCCAGGTTTCTTCCTATCGCTGTAGTAATTAATCAGAAAGCATAAATAAAAGAAAAGAAAAGCATTTTTTAAGGGAGGCTGAAACGTGACATAAAATTTACTACAATGGAGAAAGGAAAATAAATAAATAAATAAAATACTTACATTTGCAAGTTGATCAAATCTTCCGAAAAGTTCATTTAGCAGTCGTACGAGCTCCTGCGCAGTGCATTGGGATGCCAATACAGTGAAACCAACAATATCAGCAAAAAGAATGCTGAAAATAAGTTACTTATTCAATAAATTTGTTTAATGCAGCAAATAATTTATATTCACTGAATATTTTAAAAAACATATTTGCAAGAACTGTCTTAATACAAACTCACACAGATTCAATAATTCATTCAAAAAGGGGAAAAGACGCTATTTTCAAGAAAAACAGCTTTCAAACAACTTTTAACGAAAAATCAGGATTTTGAAATTTCTTGAATTTTTTCATGAACCGCATGGAAAAAAAATAATACATTAGTAATTCTTCATAGCTTCTTTAAATTTCAGTGTGACTACGTGAAAGTGTTCTTAAATACACGGAAGTAAGAACAAAGTAACAAATATTGTTTCACTAGGTCCTTGCTTAGAAGTATAATATATCAAACTGTATTCGTTAAATTATACTCTCTGTATTCGTTAAAATACACTAGAATAACTTCACACTTCACGTACACAACATCTAAAATAAATCATACTTTTCAAAGAACTATCTAAAATCTTTTGTAATTTTGTAATCTTCTGTACTCTAAAATCATCCGATAACAAACTTAAGATCTTCTTATTAGAAGCTGAGACCCTCGGGGTTCATTAATCACCTTCCTCCTACCTTTTTTAACAGGGGACAATGGGAAATTGAGTACTTGCCTAGTGGGCAGGCAGACATTTCTTTATCTTTAGGCTGACGATTTGCGTTAACTACTGTCCTGCTCCTTCGACTTTTCCTTTCGTTCACTTTCGAGTAATACACATTCAGTAATCTTACTTGATGGTTACAGTCAACAATGGCTAAAACCTTATCAAAATTTTTAATATCTTGTAAACTGAAACAGGAATTTCATTGTAAAGAAATAAATGTAAATTCAGGTAGGGAACAGAACGAACATAATAGAACGATATAATTTTCATAATGAATTATAAAGCAATGCAACAGTTATATGAATATGACATGAAAAACATGTTATTACGACTTCTGTATAATGTAACATGAACGGCTTCAAGAAAAGCGAAGCTCTGCCGGAAAAATAAGATTACAAGGCAAATCTGTTTAACATTGAAGTAGAAGGCTATCGTATTTAATTGTCAAGATATCGCCCAGCAAGGGTATTGGCGACTAATTTTTGTCGCCATATTTGGCAAAAAATCGCTAAAGTCGCCAAACTTGGTGACCATTTGGTCCGGTCCCTGTATAACTGTAATTGGTTCTGTAATCGATCCAAATATGCAACTATTACCGTATCCGTCCCTTATACGTAACTTTAACCGCACATGACTTCCAGTAATTTCGAGAAATGGAAGGTGCTAGAGATTTCTTGGCGGCCAGGGGAAAAGTGTATAAGACCGGAGAGAGCTTCAGTTCTCAGTTTTTAGCTCAGAGTCGACTTCGGAGTATTGAAAAAATCTCCGCGCGAGCTTCGCTCTTTACACGCGCTTTGCCTTGCGTTGTGTTTAACATACTTAGTGGTTTGAAGTGATAACTATTGCTTGTCCTTCAATTCAAATTCAGTTCAACAGCAATGCCGTAAAATAATTTTAAAATGAGCATATCTTTAGAATTTCCGATACACTGTTCTGCGTGCTGGAGATAAAAAGGTTCCCCCCCCCGGTAGAATGTTGCCATTGCTAGCATTTAAATCGTTGAGTTTGTTAATCAAAAATTCGTTAAAGTTTTACAAAATATGAAATCGATAATAAAATTTGGGCTTTCAGATGCCCACATTCGCAGTAGCATTACGTCATTCAAGCCCACATCCCACTAGAAAGAACGTAAGTTAATTAATACTTTTTCTGGACTTTTATATCTTAATGTGCATTCACTTTTTTCTTCTTATATATATATATATATATATATATATATATATAATTTCAATTTTTATTATTTGCTTTGTTTTTGCAAATTATGTTTCTTAATTTTCTAATGTTTATTTCAATTACTTTGAGTTCTATTTCATTATTCCACTTAAGATTACCAATGTTTAATTTTTATACACATAGTTTTGAGTTAACATGCATAAAAACGAGGGTGTCGGGAGACAATTACTCAAGTATTTTATCAATTTTTCTACATAAGTTGCTTTTCACTCAAAATTTGTATTATCGAAAATGCTTAATTCAGAATGAGTTCTTTGGTACTCTACTTTGGTTCTAAATACCTTCACTTCACGGAACTATTTGGTCTAACTTAATTTGCCAGTTTGACATCACCATTATTACTTGAGTAAAAGACGAAACACCTTCGTATTTATTAATTATTGTTCATTGAACGGGAGTTGGTTTGTTCCCCTTGAAAAGTCAACTAATTTCGGATCAATAGCAATAAGTACTTGCTTTTAATTTAATTCCTTTTTCAAAGTTTGAAATTTTGTTATTCATGATTTAATTCAAGTCCCCGTAAAACATTTTTAACACTTCACAATCAAGTTTAAAACAATTTTCGGAATTAAACTTCCTACCTCTGGGTTCACTCTTTTTAGATACTTCTACTAAAATTAATATTAGGATATAATATAATAAATATTTCTTTAGTAAATATATATATATTCAATTGGAACTTCAGTATCTACTTCCATCTTTATGCATGATTCTTTTCACGTGTATTATTATTATCTTGCGATTCTAAATCAACTGTTCATTCGAGATTAGTGCCTTCATCTTCTGTATTAACCATGCATTCATTATTATTATTTCTATTTTTTTCCTAAATTCCCTTCAGTGGAAGGTGAACATTTGATTACCTCGTAATATGCTTTGTTTTACATTGCTTGAACAAATTTTAATCCTTTCGACCACTTTTCTGTCTTATTTGTTTCTATCCATGTTACCAACGTCGTGGTTTACCCGTTCAACAGAACCTTGCGATTTACTGTGTATCGGCTTACCTTGAACTATTTTATATCACTCCACATTTCACATAAACTGTTCATTATCTGGTTGCAAAATTCCCTTCTATTGTCGGAATGAAGAATGGTTGGCGCTCCAAAAGTTGTGAAAATATCCAGAAGGTGATATGTTACTTCATAAGTTCTTTTATTGCGCAGACTTCGGAGCAGGACGAATTTTGTAAGATGATCTTGATACACTAAAATGAATTTTGTAAGGTGATCTTGATACACTAAAATAAATTTTATATTATGATCAGGCTTGAACTGCATACCTATTAGGTCGACTTCGCACCGAGATTTCAGTTCGCTATGCACAACTGGTTTGATCAGAATCCCCCTTTTCACAGTTTTTTGTTTTTCTGACATGGTTCACATAGTCTCAAATACGTGACGATAGACTCTAGTATTACATTCTTGTATTTTTGATTCAGTACCTTAATTGTACGGTTCTTCCACAATGGCCAACTACGATATAAGCGTTGTTTATGACGTTGAGATTTCATCAATTGTAACATAATACAGGATTTCTGCTTTTTCTGCAGATAAAGGGGCTATAAATTTGTCCTCTCCTCCAATATTTATAATATCATAGCTTTTCAACCTTCTGTAATGAACTGATTATTTTTGCTTCACACATTTTGCTTCCTTCACTCCATTTATTAAAAACCTGTATTTCTCATTTGTTAAATAAAAGCTACTCGTACTTATTTTTTACAGATTCATACAAAATGTCGTAAAAAGTTTTCCGCATAACATCACTCATTTCCTTTCAGCAAAATAAAAAACGGAAAATATATTGAAATGGAAATAAACTGCTTCTATTTTAGATCGTAGCCGCTTACACTTGTTGGAATTCTCTCGAAACTTAGCTGCAAGTGACGCAAATAAGAAGCAGGAAGTGTTGCGACGGAATTTGTGTTCGCAGGTTTATTCAGAGTCAATTTAAATCCCTCGTTTCGGGGTTTTACTGGAAGGCGTTAGTAATTCCTAGGCTTTACCGCAAAGGCTTGTTAAAAGTCCGAAATGGAATCATATTTAAGCATACTTCGGACTTTTAACAACCCACATTGGTAAAATCTGGTTTTTCCCGGTAAAACCTTGGATTTACTAGACTTCGGGCTTTTACAGTAACATCATCAAACTGCTGTACTTAATGTGTTCCTCCCAGTCGGTTAGTGATGTTGATTGCTGTACCGATAGGGCCCAGGTTCGAATCCCGGTCAAGACACGGATGTTTGTAAGCATACAGTGTCTGTGCGGTAAGGAGGCACTCAAAATACAAGGCAGACAGAAACTCCTCTTGAGGAATTACTGGTAGAGTCCGAGAGATGGGGTAGACCCTCGGATGTGCACCTTCAAAACTGGAGTGGAACTGCCCAGTTAGTGGGGCCACTACAGAACAAAAGGTTCATGTAATCAAACTTCATGAAAAAGTAATCGGCCGTAATCAAAACTTGTGATTAACCAAAAGCGCTCGAATGGTATACATGGAAGGGCTATTATCCATATGGATCGAAGACAAAATAAGTTGGTCAAATGCGAATTCTAGCCAAAGCATAGTGAGATTACTTAAATTTGAAGACAAGCGAGGGTGACCTTTTTTCCGTTTTAACTCTTCGGCGGTCTTTCCAAAAACGCGCGATATCTGCAATGTGAGCTGCGTTCGTTTGCGCCCACTGGGGTGCGTAACTACACTCATGTCCATAAATTAATAAATTAAAGATAATGCAAAATCAGGCAAAGGAAGAGTTAGACGCAAAACAAATTTGACTTATTTGTAAAGCTTATTTATTAAACAAAAGGTAAAGCGCAAAAAAAGATGCTATATGTTTGATATTATTAAAAAAATTAGTCATTTTTTTTTCTCCCTGGAGCAAATTACTGGAGCAAAAAAGATGCTATATGTTTGATATTATTAAAAAAATTAGCCATTTTTTTTTCTTCCTGGAGCAAATTACAAAAAAAAAAAAAAAAAAAAAAAACTATTTACAAAAAACCAATATTACATTGTTGGTATGATTGTTAATACACTGTATGTCTCCCAGCGATACAATACAGTCCGTACAACGCCTAGGCATGCTGAGTATCAAATTATCGATCTGATCTTGGGGGATATTACACCACTCAA